CGATCGTTTACTTTTTTTAAAAAAGGATGAGGCGTCTGCTCCATCGTCCAAAGCTCAATGATTCCCAACCAAGTTCGTCATACAACTTCTCACGGGACGCTCCCTTCCAGGCCCCCGTTATTGCTAGTGCAGCGGAGAATTGGACAGCTTCAAGTTTTTCCATTAGATTACGTAATACAACATCATGACTAAATTCGCAAATATCATGTGGGATGTAACATATGACGTCGCCATAATCTAGAAACGGTCGAACATACAATTTGTACATTTCGTTGAGTGTATGTTGTGGTAGATATTAGGAAAGAAACCTCCAAATTCCAATTCCGTGCCTGGTTTTTGAGATGGCAGCTCTGATGTGACTAGAAAAGGACAATTTGGAGTCCAATATGATCCCAAGGTGCTTTTGCTTTGCATGTCTGGCCTCATTTGATCATTGTGTCCTTTTCTACCGCTCTTTTCTCACCATTCATCGTTACCTCGAACGCAGCAGCAATCAGTGTCGCTTGCCTATTAAAAATATCAACAATCGAGTCCTAGTTTGTTTCAAAATGTATACTTTCTTCAAAACCATTTTAAACTTTCTACTACCAAAAGATTGTTAACTTTTTGTCAATATTTTTGTTATGAAAGTATTTGTCATTTGTTTGGGACCATTTGTTGTTGTTTTGGGTTGTTCTAAAATATTGTGTGCTATTTACTTGTTCTATTGGCCATGGTAATAATTTATAGAATGATTTAAAGATTTATAGAAGATTTTAATGATGACAATGATTGTGGTGTCGTTGTTATTTGTCCGTTGTCTTCAAAAATGACTAAAAACATTATCAAAGAAAGTGGATTGTCACCAAAGGTAGCAGCAGATCGAGCAAATAGGGGTATGAAGCGTTCTCCCACTTATCGCAGACGAACATTCTGATGCGATAATAGGCAAGAAAGCGACTTCATGTTTACGCGACGCCTTGTTAATGTCATATGAAGTCAATTTTAAAGGAGATATGAAGATAAGAAAAAAAGATTTTCCAACATCAAGGAGCTACATAAATCAATTTAAAAATGCAAAATATTCTGTGGAAGAAATGAGGAAAATAGGGATGTAGCTAGTTGATTTTAACATATTATATTATCACCTATCCTACATCCCAGGGGAACAGTCCAGATCAAATACATCTTGGCGATATTCGTCTATAAAATGATGAGAGTTTGAAGGTATTACAGTGCGTTTGAACACGCTTTACGCTTGTTAGCAGAGGCAATTATTTGCAATGAAAGCTCAAAGGATGGAGCGCGATAAAAAGATGACACGAGAAGGAAATGGGAGTGCCATGCAACAACATACTTCCTATGTATAGGACTAATCACTTCCTCTTTTCAAAGAGAAATCTTTTCTTAAAATGAAGGAAAAAATGAATGGAACCGTTAATGTTGAAACACGAGGTAGATTTGTTCTTAGGGATACTTCATTCTCAGGCTTGTTTCGTTTTCTTTCTCTTGCTGCCGAATTCTTGACTGCATCAGTTTTCTACTTTTGTCCAGGGCCTGATAGAAACTCTGTAATTCAGCCAACCTCGACGATAACGTCCTGATTGTTGTGTTCTGAAAATGGGATTTAATTACCCATGAAAAAATCTGCTGCCCGAAAGCAAGAGATTGCTAAGAAAGACTTTTCAGAAAAAATGGTTGCATTTACTTAAAAAAGATTGGGACGACCAAGATCATCACCAATTATGGCGTTCAAAGAATACAGTTCAAGGAATTCAGTGTCACAGACGGGTCTGGAGCGAGAACAAGAGTTAATGAATGCTGAGTCAAAATCTCAAAACATTAATGTGATCAATGTTGCTTCTGAAGGCGACCTAAAAACAGAGTTCAGAAATTGTCGCAACCTTCCTTCGAAAGAAACTCTTCCTTATTTGCCTTCCTCAAAAACTTTCTTCTATCTTTCGGATAAAAGGTCTCTAGGAAATGGAATTTGGGTAAAATCACTGGTGGTATAGTTACGCTTTGTCAGCAAATTAAGAAAGGTCCAAGCACAACGGTAAAATCATCCAACTCTATATACCCTTTTCTAGTTATGTATCGGCCTTCCTTTGGACTCAATGCCGTCCTGAATGTGCCTCAAAACGTCGAAAAAATGATCAGATGCAAACTTCTCTGTTTCGAAATAGGGCCTAAAGGGGGCCAGCAGTTTCACTGTTAGACCATCATACAAACTGGTATACCTCTAAAAACAGCAGGTAACATAGAGAACGTGAGATCCACAAGCACTGGAGCTATACAAGCCTAAAGACGCCTGAAACACGTTCCAATAAAACTACAACGCATCAAAAGAAATAGCACGTATTTTACCATAAGATATAACAAGCAGAAGAGACAGAAGTAATCTTTGAGGGACCACTCCGATTCAAATAATCTTTACCAACCAAACTCGTGCAGCAGAGCGACAAAATTTAACAAAGAACGTAGGTGAATGCTCTACGTGAAAATAATTAACTTGAAATTTATTGAATTTTTTACTGAATGTAGAATTTTACTTTCTGCTGAATGACACTTAAAAACTATTAATCAAAAGTCTGATATTTTGTCACGTTGTTTCCTAGATGAAACACCAGTGTTTGAAAACCAGAAAAATAAGACTAGTAACTGGGGCAAGAAATCCTGTAGTTATATCAAGTAAAATTTGCTGGCAATGACAGTAAATCAGCTGGCATTTGCAGGCAACAGTGAAACAAGCTGTGGATGATTTCGGAAGCACGGTACTAGCTGTACTTAAAACCCCAAATATTCTAGAAGGGAGGCGAGGAGTTTTGAAAATTTTGAGTACATACTTACCCAATACATATTTATTAATACCTACCCAGTGATGTAGGTATTAATAATAAGTCCTACCCAGTCCATATTTATCAATAAAAAAATTTCCTGTTTTAACAGATGCCTTCCAAATATCCCCAATCTCTTTGGAACAACCACCACAAAATTTTGAGACCGACACATCATTGCATCCTTAACATTTCATCTACTTAAAAAAAATTTCCTTATTTAAGGCAAAATTTAACCCAGTCCTACCCAGTACATATTTATTAATTTATATTTTTTAATTGTTTTCACAAATCCCTTTCAAATTTCTCTCTTTGGAACCATCACTCAATCGATGCATTTAGCAGACTACTATCAATAGGAAGCATTTATTGCAAAGCAAACATGTAACTGATAGCAATCTACAACCCCCACCCCCCTAAAAAATGCTATACAACTAAACACCTAAGTGCAAACTAAGGGACTAAGGGCCTTAGCTAGCCTGTGCCCCTATCCACAAATGCTACGACATGACTGGACTGGGATGGAAGCTAGGCCTTAACATGATGGATAAATATTCGGTTTCTGCAGCTATCACATTTCATAGATCAAGGCAATTCAGGCTAATTACAAAATGGATTTGGATCATATCATAATTTATCTGCAACAAATAGCCTACTTGAAAAATATTTCTTGGAGAGCCCTCTGACCATCATGAAGTGTAAACACAGTAGAAAAGTTGCTTATTCTAGATCTGATGACCAAGCTGTGAATAGCGTCTTCAAAGTGAATTGGGAGTCCTAACTTAGGATCACGCCTAATGCCAGATCACATGCCCCATCAGTACTGAAAAGTAACAGCAAAGTAACTCAGCAGAAAAACCAACATGATGTCAGCTCAGAACAACCCTACTCCGTGTGAAAACAGTGGATGGGACTGGCATATCCTGTAACAACCTCATTAAAGAAGCAATCTAAGTTGTTGCTTGTCCCATTAACCTTTTTCTCCTGCCAATCGAATGTGGAACTAAGAGCACATATTGATTGTAAATATCCATTATACAACAATTTTTAATTAAAAAAACAACAAGAAACATACCAAATGACTTTCTTTGAGGGAAAACCTATTCGTCCAAATGATGCTTTCAATCTTCTGTGATAAAATTGATAGTTGCTTGGCCATCAGCGGAAAACATTCGACAAATTCTCTGTCAAAAGAAAAATAAGTAACGTTCAGTCTAAAAATGGATAAGCAAATTGAACTGAGATACCAACAATTTGCAACAGTCAGGCTACAATGCGGCTTTTAGTAGACAGGTACTTGAAGGGGAAAAAGAAGGTATACCTGACTGAAGAAGCAAGCTCAGGGATCGTTCAAGACAGGACGTACTCGAGAGGAGGTGAATTTCCTTGCCTTGGGAATTATTTAAGAAAAATCCCATGCATTAGAATCGCACTCTCCTCCGGAAAACAAGCATGATAGTCTTTTGAAATTTATAACAGGCAAAGGGTCCAGATGACAAATATCTTTTGGATGAACTGAATGAAATTATCCCTTGAAGTGGTACAGTATTGGCAACATTTTTGTTTCTCTGTTTTGTATTCGTGCCATAATCTAAAAAAACTTCAAACACAAAGTCGCTTTTTCGTTAAGATTAAATGTTTATCTTGTACAGTTTGTTAACTAGAGGGATTAATATCAATCAATTTTATTAAAGTTGACGATAGTCTTTTAATGCTCAATACACACTTTCTTCTAACTAGATTTGAACCATTCCATCAACGCCTCTGCTTTATTTACAAAAAACTTAGTGTTTGTTTTATCATTGTTAAGAAAACAGTATTTCGTTTCCTTTTGTCGTCGCCGTTAATTAGGATAGTGTACTGTTTAATCCACACGAGATTCTTCCTATTGCAAACGAATAAATTCAAAAAAAGTTTGAAATAACCATCATCAACTTAAAGATATTCCGTTACATGATAATCATTACCGTCTTATGCTCTTCGTGGTACTGGCTTTAACTTTTCAGGTGGATTTTCCGTATGATCTTTAGCGAGAATTTTCAGAGCAGCGCACATTTAGAAACAAACTGCTCTTTTACGGACAAAAAAGCGACATGAAGCGAACACAGTGACGCTACAAGGAAATTGCCATTCGTAAAATTTGGCATTCAGAATTAATGGCGAATGACTTAAAAAAAAGAAAAGATGAACCGCTCGTGCCCAGGAGAACCATACTTTTGCCCGTCATTATGGCCATTAGACATGCCGTCGCCCCATTTGATCACTTGGTCATTTTTTACCGCCCTTTTGTCACCAATTACCATCGTCTCGAACGCAGCACTAATTTATGGACTGTACAAAATGGAGCAGCTAAACACGATCACAAACAAATTCATTCTCGTGTTGAATTTATCAGATCTTGGATTTGGTATATTCATCCTACCATCCATTGCTGCAATGGCAGCTTTGAAAGGCATGTACCGCAACTGTGTCGTTGAACTGGTTATTCAATATTGCGCCTTTCTTCTCGCATATTTCTCCTTTTTCATGTTTATGTGCGTATCTATGGATCGGTATCTTCACGTGACGAAACTCAAAAAGTACAATAAGTTCATGAACGAATTTCGCATGAAGGTGATCGTTGTGTTTAGCTTCATCACATCGGCAATAATCGCCTACATATCGATCGCGTTTCCTTCTTTCCCACTGCAAGTCGTGTTGAATTTATCCGATCTGTTTGGTATTCTGTTTATGTTCATATTGTATTCGATGGTGTTTCGCAGAATTGCCACTCATGCGGAGAAAATTAAGAAAATGCTGAGAGATGCCGGAGAAAATTCGGGTAACCGAGAAACGAGACGAGAAATCTCGGCAACGAAAACGATTCGTTTTGTCCTGGGTGCTTTGTTGGTTCTGTATCTACCGTACAACATTTGCTCCGCAATCTGGACGTATTACAAATACCAGGAGAAGAGGAATCCTCCATTAATTATAAACGCACTAGAATATTGGTCTTATATAATTGTGTTTTTTAATGCTTCAGTAAATGCTATCCTATTCGCTTATGGCAACAGCATTGTGAGAAGAATTTTAATTGGATGCATTTTCAGAAGTCAAATTGCTCCAAAGAGCGCAGTAAGTGACGTCACAAAGACCTCTAAAATTGCAAGCAAGTTCTAGTTGAAGCCATTCAAGGAGAGGTTGACGTCATCTGCTCTAGACTAGTGTCTTGTCCATGCAATGTAATTATTTTTTGGTGAGAGCAATAATCAATCGGTGCACATATGAACTTTTCACAAAAGCAGTGTGAAGGCTCCTACCCTACATAAGGCATAGAGAGGTTTTACTGGCTGATCAATGGTAGCTATAAAAAATGGTTCAATTTTTCAGTCGTTGACAGGATTTTCTCCTTACACGGTTATGGAAAAATAATAGCAACAACGAAGAAAAGGAAACAGACAACAGATTCTAAATTTTTGTCGATTGCTGATCCTTGCCTTTTAATTATTTCGAGTGTTGATAACGTCAAGAAACTTTATTTCACTCCAATCAGCTTCAGCACAGAATACATCACAAATTCATATAGACTTGAAGAAACAAAGGTTGATATTTTGCAATTTTTTGCATTCGTTTGGCAGTGTCATAGTGTTGTGCTAAGAATCATCGTCTATGATATGTATCTGTAAAACTTAATGTGATGTTCTGTTATATTGCTGTTTAAACGCTGCAAATAAACATAATTAAGCGTAGTTATGTTATGTTGTATAACAAGATTGTAAAATTAGATTAAGGGCCATCTTGGACTGAATATATCTCAAAAAAATGTTAGTGGTAAAAAGTTCAAGTGCTGCAAGGAGAGACATATAAGACTACGGTGTCCTAACATTTCCTAAACAGCCGCTGTTCGTAGTGCTTATTCATGAATGGAGTAAATCTTTGCGCTAACTCGTCGATCATGAAACATCTATATTAACGGACAGTAGCTAAACTTTAACATTTCAATAGCTCCCATGACATTCATGGTTTTTTCTTCGGGAATATAAATTAAGACCTTTGCAAGAGCACGTAGCTTGTATTACGCTTCCGTTTACACCATATTTACATGGTGTTAAAAATTTACTTATTGGTCAGTTACAGCTCCCGACAATTTTTTTCGATCTTTATTGAGATTTCAGTATCCTTCTTGCCAAATACAAGGAGATGGCATTTCTCCGCGTTCAATTCTATGCAGGTTTGTGCAAACCTATTTCTTTGTTCAACAGTATCATTTTCTAGCTTTAAAATAGATTCTCTCAAACTTTTATTAGAATTCTCATTTTTATATCGTCTACATATTTACAAATTTCAGTCTCATACATCAAAAGGAAAATATCATTGGTAAATTAACAAAAAGAAGAGGCCCTATGACTGACCCTTGGGTGACACCAGATTTCACTTCTTTCCGCGGGCTTAATGAGCAATTGATTTTAACCCGTTGCTTTCTACACGCTAGATAACTGTAAACCATATTTAAGACATTTTTGCTAAATCTGTATGCGTTTAATTTTCCAAGCAAGAGTTCATGGACGCGGTAAGTCCTTACACAAGTCCATAAGGACTCGTCCGACAAAACCTCCATTATCTAAAGTTTTCTTACAAGTCTCCGTAATTATCTGTCATATCATATTCTTTCTATAAAATATGATCAAATCAAATCTGAAAAAGCATTCTGAGCATTGTAACCCTGTCGATAGGCGAAAGGCTAGGCAAGAAAAAACTTCTTAACAAAAGGTAGCAATGTTTTAGAGTTTAGCTCTTACATACGTCTAAAGTTGTTTTTTAAAACGATTTATTTTTGGTAGCTCACGAATTTCGGCTAGTATTGCCATTCCTTGACAGCCAAAAGGGGCGGGCAAAAGGGGGGGGGGGGTACCTATCTTGCTCTTGCAACAAAAGGGATATTTGGGGGCAATGTTCTTCCATGCTCCAAATACGATAGTATATGTTTATGTTTATGTATAAACCTTCCAAGTTACTTTAGCAGTTACTTAACACGAGTACCTTTATTGTATGTAGAAAATTGTAGACCTGTATATATGTATGAAAACCTAAGATTACCGATTGTAGCCTAAGTAATACTCGTTTTAAATTTAAAGATTACATAAATGTTGATAATTTTTTTACGCTTTCTTCAAAAAATGATCAATTTTCAATTTTTCAGCTTGAAGATTTTATTTTCCCGGCTGTTTTCCCATGATATTGACATGTAATGTTGACATTGATCAGCTTTTGGAGGCACAACTGGTGATTACATACATTTCATGCTAATCTGACTAACTTTTAATAAAAACACCTTCACGTCACTCTCATGGCACAAAGTCCTATGTTATCTAACAGGCACAAAGTCCTATGTTATCCGTGTTTAACTACTATTTTTCTTCCGTTTTATTTTCGAAACAGTTATATCATTTTCCTTTGCTGAAAGATCTTTTTTTGGTGGAAATATATGCACTGTGGTGAAAATTTAGATTTGTAGAAATTTCAAGTGTGCAAAAATGCTTATAGATGGGTAATTATAAGGCAAAAATATATTTTTATGGGTAACGAATATTTTAATGTATGTAACAGCTATATGCATATAAAGTCTTAGCATTATAATCTTGACACAAACGTTGATATTCTGCATTTTTCGGTCTGTTTGTCACTGAAATAATGTTGTGGTAAGAAATATCGTCTATGGTACATATTTCTAAAAATTAATAAAGACTACTGCTTGTCGGATTATATTATAGTGTTTGATGTCGCATAGGCAGAGTTGTACACGCGTCGGTGTATTGAACAGAAGATTTTTAAATGGCTTTGAAAAAAGCAAATATTTAGTAAACTAAAGCTTTTCGTCTGACACTCTTCAGAGTTTAAAACATCAGAACATAGACCGAAAACTCTACGCTAGGAAATATATATACCCAGTTGTGGATCGAAATAGGCCAATCAGAAACATGAGCACATGACTGTAGAAGATTTTTAAGTTGCAATTTCGAGTTTCTTCTTTATGCGATGCTCGTGCAACTAATCACCTGATTACCTGTACCATGCACGATACTATGCTATCAAATGCTGCTGTTTGTTTTAGTTGGTAATGTTAGGGAAAGGTACAGGAGCCTATAGCTAACAAGGCAAATAGAGAGAGGGATTTGGAAGATAGGACGGAATCATAAAGGTTGTTGATTTTATTTATGAGCAAAGACAGGTTGTAAAAGTCTTGGGAGCAGGAAGAGGGTTGAGCGTTCCAAAGTTTACAAGATCAAGGGAGGAAGGAAGAGTTGTGGGACAGAATACATGAGTTTGGCAAGAGACTTAAAAAGGGTGAGCACTGGGAAAATGTCTGGTATTGCATACATTTCTCAGGGGACCAGAGAGCAACGTCCGTGGTAAAATCTATAAAAAATTGAGAGATCAGCGACAGGGCGTTCATAGGAACGAGGCTGAAGAGACTGTTTGAAAAACATCAGAATAGAAAGCATAGACTTAGGAATGTGAAGCGGCTGGACAGTAAAACTTTTATATGGTTTCCTAGACAATGTTGTAGTTTGGATGGCAATAATGAAAATATAAGCTAACTTAAGTCTATACTTCGCTTGATTCACCATGAAAAGTCACAATTATTCGAAACGGTCCACTTCAGGAATTTCCATTTTCTCAAAGGGGACTAGGACCGTCATTAAAAAAGTTTTTCCAACAATCAACATTATTTCAAGAATAGTACAAAGTGGAAGAAATAGAGCTGAATGATAAATGAGCAGAATAAAGATAGAGACTTTGATTTCACGCTGATTGCTGTATATACAAGATGGTTCTTAGTTGCTTCTCCAACTACAATAAGAAGAAAGGAAAACCGTTCTGTTTTATGCACCAAATATCATACACATTTATACACCTATACGGCATCAAGTACCTTTATGGCAGGCATGTAATTAGTAATTGTCATCAAATGTTCACCACGATGAAAGTATGGCAGAGTTCTGTGATTGCTAAAAGAATGATCTGATACTGAATCAACTGGCTCTTAAAATACTTTATATGCCAAATGTTTGTGTGATTCTTCTAAAGACAAAAAATATTTTGACAGCATTAATTTCAGACACTTCTACCGTCTAAAACTTTTAGCCTGCGCGCAGCCTCAGACACTTCTATCAACTGTTTTGCATGTCAGATTTGTAATGGTCTGTTAGAGTACAAACGTTTTAGAATACATTTGTTATCAAATTTTGCTCAGTGAGCGCTTTGCATTTCAAAAGAAACTAAAACTTTCTTCACAATACAACAGGCAGCTGTTTACACTGAATGATATAGATTTATACTGAACATAGATAAAGAAATGAATAGGTTCTTATCCATAAAAATCTTGAATAAATAAAAAAACAGGTTTCTACTGTCAAAATTGCACATTTGATTCCGTTAAAAAGCTCACCTATCCAATGAATGTTTCGAAATGATTCTCTAATTCCTCACCTGTTCGAAATTATTCTTAAAGTTAAAAGGTCCGTACACATTTCATTAAAAAAAGACAAACCATCATCATTTTATCGAGTTGATATTTTCTCACTAGCAGATGTTCATGGCAGACATTGAAATGGCACAAGCATCTTATTAACAACGAGAATGCTCTGTATGATGCATTTCTAAAGAAAGCGCTTATAACACGACATTACAGAGCAGTTAAGCGAAAAAAACCGGCGCAACGTGTTTAGCTCTGCAGAACGCAGGACAAAAGAGAACTACGTAAAGATGAACCACTCATCTTCAGAAGAAAATTACTATTGCCCGTCAATATGGCCACTGAACATGCCATGGCCTCATTTGATCGCTTGGTCGTTTTTTACCGCCCTGCTGTCACCAATCACCATCATCTCGAACACAGCTCTAATTTATGGACTGTACAAAATGGAGCAGCTTAACACGATCACAAACAAATTCATTCTCCTGATGAATATATCAGATCTTGGCATTGGAATATTCATCATGCCATCCATTACTGCAATGATAATTTCAAAAGACAAGTACCGCAACTGTGTGTTTGAACTGGTTTTTCATTATGGGGCCTTTCTTCTTGTTTATTTCTCCTTTTTCATGTTGATTTGCGTAAGTTTGGATCGTCATCTTCACGTGACAAAGCTCAAAAAGTACAATAAGTTTATGAACGAATTTCGCATGAAGGTGATCGTTGTGTTTAGCTTCGTAACGTCGGCTGTAATCGCCTACATATCAATGGCGTTTCCATCTTTCCCTCTGCAAATTGCGCTGAATTTATCCAATCTTACTTTCATTCTATTTGTGTTCATCTGGTATTCGAAAATGCTTCGCAAAATTGCAATTAATGTTGAGAGAATTAAGAAAATGCTGAAAGATGCCGGAGAAAATCATGGTTACCGAGAAGCAGGACATGAAATCTCGGCAACGAAAACAATCCGTTTGGTCTTAGGTGCTTTGTTGGTTCTGTATCTACCGTACAACTTTAGCTCTGCAATTTGGACGTATTACAAATACCAGGAGAAGAGGAATCCCCCATTAATCATGAATGTGATAGAATATTGGACCTACGTTTTCCTGCTAAGTAATGCAACAATAAACGCTATCCTTTTTGCATATGGTAACAGCCTTGTGAGAAGATTCTTGATTGGCAAATTCCTCAGAAGTCGTGTTGTCCCGAACAGAACATCACCTGCTTTTCCATAGCAGATCGGAATTGAGGAAGACGTAAATAAAGTGGAAGATTAGCCAATGCAACATCTATTCCAACAAATCCCAGCACTGTTTGTCGTCCTGGAGGCAATTTTAGACATTACTGGACGATTGACCAACAAAACCTTTGGCCTTGACTTCATTTACTTAAGCTGCTGGTCGTCGAAAAACGGCATCAGTTTCTTCAAGTCTGTGCCAAATCTAGATGCACACCCACCAAATCTCGCGCATTTTAGAACCGCTAGCAAAGCAAATTAAGCAAAGCATCTTTTCTTGAACCAGAGTATTCTTTCTTGAACCAGTGGAAATATCATAACAGTACCAGTGAAAATGCTGGGGCTAACAACGGTCACTGACAATAAGAGTCGCGCCCATCAGCTGCATGACGTGCAGAGGAACTATACGCCGAAACATCTACAGCCGGGTTGGTAGGTGACGCGATGTACATGGTACGTGACGCGTAGTAGTTAGTTAGCGGTTTCTAGGCGCGCCGACGACGAGGATGAATCAAGCAAGTTCATTGAAAAGGAAACTTAGAGGCCTGAATATAAATCCGTATTGAAAGGCATAGATATTTGACAGGATGGATTAACATTTCCCAGATGTTGTGGGGAATATAGCTCAAGTCATGTCAGAATTTGTTGAGTATTTTTGGAGCATCGGGCAACAGTCAGCGGTCAAGTTGTAGATGCAAAATTGGACAGGTCTCCGAATTAATGCGGTTGTTTAGAAGTCGTCTTGCCCGTAGAAATAGCTGATATGAAACCACAAAATTTAGAAAGGCTCATTTAATTCAACAACAAAAACTTAAACTAGGGAATTCTCAGATGAACCATTTCCAAACATAAAAAAAGCGAAATAGAAAACTTGGAGGAAGATGGGGCGCTAAACATGTTTGATGGTGAGCATAATGACGGCAAGGAAGCATCTAGCCTCCCATCGGTGGAAATTTTAGGTTACTGTCGGAGCAAATTTGACAAAATAACATACAAAAACTGCTCATTTTAGTCAGTTTAGCCCCCTTGTCTGAAGATTTCTGGCGCCACCTCTGGGCGTAATCTGGGTAATTAGTGGCTATCGGGTAGAACCAAACACTTACATTACAGCTGAAATTATTACTATTATTATTATTATTATTATTATTATTATCTATTTATTTAAAGTAGGCATATAAAAATAGCTGCAAAATTAAAGCTAATTCAACCTACTAAAAACTAAAATTGTTGAAAAATGAAAAAAAATAAAGTTATTGGTTAAGTTATTGGTTAGGTTAAGTGAAATAAAGTTAAGTTATTGGAAAGAAGTTGAATCGTGGAGGTGGCTATGGTCTGGAGATTGCAGTAATTTACCACTTTCATGGACAGGAAAAGTTAGTAAACTGGGCTGTAATGAAGCTCGAAGCTGTAAAAAGCTAACCAGATTGTCAAGTGTCAAAGTGTTTGAAATAAATACTTGAACAAAAATTCATTCGTCTTAGTTTTTTGCTTGCTGGCTCCTACTTTTTTTATACTGTCCGCTAATTGGAACGATCGGGGAAAAATTTGCCCGCTAATAAGAGATGTCCGCCTTTTAGAGTGTCCGTTAATTGGAGATAATACCGTATCAATTCCCAAAGTCTCACTTATGTTTTTGATATGTATTGTTGACATTGATCAGCGTAAAAAGGCACAACTCATGATCGCAAACATTTAACACCATTCTGATTAACTCTTAATAAAGTATAGTCGTGTCTATTTTCCAACACAAAATCTTGAGTTTTGCTACCTAACGCGTTGCTTTTTTGGCATTTAAACGCTACCTCCATCCTGTCCTTGTTTGACAACAGTTTTATCTTGTTCCTTCATTTTATTGCAGAAAGATCGATAACTAAAGTTGAATACAGCGATTAAGCACCAAACCATTTCAGTCGAAAAGAAAGAGAATGGCGGAATGATGACGTCACAAAAGTCTATTTCAGAACTTTAGATTTCGGACCCGTTATCCTGAAAGAAACACGACATACCTCCAAATATGCAAAATCAGTTGAATTAATTGCGATTCCGATGAGATATTGCCACATAAGCACAGGATCTTTCCCCGTCAAATCACTGTAATTTGGCACTGATTTTAACTATGACTACATATTTAGAGGTATTTCATGAAATTTTTTTACAGGCTATGAAGTCAGAATTCTTAATTCTGAAAATAGATTTTTGATGACGTCACAACAGTTTTCACAAATACATCCATTGTCAAATAAGTGAAAAAGTTAGCTTTGCATAGTTAATTGATTCGCATTTCAAATATTAATCATTCATTTTTAAGTTAAAATTTGCCTTTTAAAATTCGCCTAATAATCAGGACTTGCTTTTAATTAAAACTAAGTCGGTGCTTTTATTTAACATTGAAAATTTGTTTTTCCCTTTAAAGTGACAAGAAAAAAGTATTTCCCATCCTTTTGGTTGACACAATTATTTAGCAAAGTTTTGCTATTGAATCCTCACTTATAATTCGTATTGCTAAGGGATAAATTCACCTGATTGGAATAACAATGTCATGCTGCATTTCATCACTGATATAACCATCATCGACATTAGATTCAAAGCTATTCCGCCAGCAGATGTTTGATTAGCGCTCTATGCTCTACATGGCAGTGATTCTTCTTTTACTGGTGGATTTTCGGTTTAATGAGAAGCGACTCCGCTTTGTCAGGAACATTTTGAAAGATAGTGCTTATCCTGGAACAACACGGCTCAGCTGTGTGAAAAACTGACACTGCAAGGTATTGCTATTCGTAATATTTGGCGTTTAACTTTAAAGAACTTTAATTAGTAGTAATGAATCATTCATGTCCAGAAGAACCTTACTTTTGCCCGTCATTATGGCCATTAGACATGCCGTCGCCCCATTTGATCACTTGGTCGTTTTTTGCCGCTCTTTTGTCACCAATCACCATCGTCTCAAACGCAGCACTAATTTACGGACTGTACAAAATGAGGCAGCTTAACACGATCACGAACAAATTCATTTTCCTGATGAATATATCAGATCTTGGCATTGGAATATTCATCATGCCATCCATTGCTGCAAATGTTGCTTTGAGAGGCATGTACCGCAACTGTATCGTTGAACTGGTTATTCAATATTGCGCCCTTTTTCTCGGTTATTTCTCCTTTTTCATGTTGATGTGCGTATCTATGGATCGTTACCTTCACGTGATGAAGCTCAAAAAGTATAATGCGTTCATGAATGAGTTTCGCATGAAGGTGATCGTTGTGTTTAGCTTCTTAACATCAGCATTAAATGCTTATCTATCGATCGCGATTCCTTCCTTCCCGCTGCAAATCACGTTGAATTTATGCAATTTGTTTTATGTTCTGTTTGTGTTCATCTTGTATTCGATGGTGTTTCGCAGAATTGCATTGAATGCTGAGAAAATCAAGAAAATGCTGAGAGAGGCCGGAGAAAATTCTGGTAACCGAGAGGCAAGACGAGAAATCTCGGCAACAAAAACGATTCGCTTTGTCTTAGGTGCTTTGCTAGTTCTTTATCTACCGTACAATATTTGCTCTGCAATTTGGACGTATTACAAATACAACTTGAAGAGGAATCCCCCATTAATCATGAACGTACTAGAATCTTGGGCCTACATTATCCTCTTAAGCAATGCTGCAATAAATGCTATCCTATTCGCATATGGCAACGGTGTTGTGAGAAGATTCTTGATTGAACGCATTACCAGAAGTCAAGTTGCTCCAAGCAGCCCGTGAGTGACGTCAAAAAACACGAGGTCTAGTTGAAGGTATTCAAGGAGAGGTTGATGTCACTGGTTTTAAAGCTAGTCTCTTGTCCATGCAGTGTGAACATTTTTTTATTACAACAATACTCAAACAGCATAAAAGTGAATTTCCCCTTCAATCTTGTCCGTCTTGAACCAGGTTTTCTCTTTAAACTTTTAGGGACAAATAGATATTGAAGGAACAATGGACAACAGAAAACAGATTCTTGATGCAAGTTGATTGCTGACCCATGCTTCTTAATTTTTTCACATCATTCATGAAAAACTGTCTAGTTGCAATCGACTTCCATCTGCAAAATGGAAATCTCCACGAGTTTTTTAGCGGATAGCCTTTACTAAATTTTATATAGACTTAACATTACTGATTGTAGCCTATATAACATCTAACATAAAGCCGTAAAGTTTGCATTGTGCATTTTTAGATAGTCCAAATGTTGATAATTTTTCACACCTTCTTCGATAAAGATATTGCTTTCCCGTCTGTCTTATTGTTTGACATGTATTGTTGACTTGATCAGCGTATAAAGGCACAACTGGTGATTCCAAACATTTAAAACCAGTCTGATGAACTTTTGATAAAAAGATTGTCAAGTTTCTCTCAAAGCACAAAATTATGCAGGGACTTTCTCCACTGGCCGCAGATATGGAGGGACCATCTCAGAGACAACTGTTGCAGAGTGATGACCGTTGCACACAGGTGACTGTTGCACAGTGGTGACCGTTGAACAGAGGTGACCGTTGAACAGAGGTGACCGTTGCACAGAGGTGACCGTTGCAAAAGAGGTGACCGTTGCACAGAGGTGACTGTTGCACAAAGGTGACTGCTGCACATAGGTGACCGTAACACTGAGGTGACCGTAACACTGAGGTGACCGTAACACTGAGGTGACCGTTGCACAGAGGTGACCGTTGCACACAGGTGACCGTTGCACACAGGTGACCGTTGCACACAGGTGACCGTTGCACACAGGTGACCGTTGCACAGAGGTGACTGTTGCACAGAGGTGACTGCTGCACAGAGGTGACCGTAACACTGAGGTGACCGTTGCACAGAGGTGACCGTTGCACACAGGTGACCGTTGCACACGGGTGACCGTAGTAACAGAAGTGACTGTTGCACAGAGGTGAATGTTGCAAAAGAGGTGACCGTAACACTGAGGTGGCCATTGCACAGATATGACTTTTATTAGTTGTTTAATTTTACAATATTTGGTCATTTGTTGGCTTTCCTTAAAGGCTCTTGCGCAACCGGCATGCTTAGCGGCAGCTGTCTTTAGAAATTGATTGTGTTTTTGAATTTTCATGCAGTACGACATTAGGCTGCTTTTGATAGTGTAGTCGCAAAGTATGCCGGTTGCACCAGAGCCTTTAAGTCGATTCAGATATTACCATTCTGGACAATCAGAGAGTGTGCAAACTTTGGAGTGTCCGTTTTCCGCGGTATCGTGAAGGAACGTTGTAGTTTTCTTTTAAATGCGAAACACGGGTTGAGAGGAAATGGAAATCAGAAGAATCTTAAAGCTTTCAGCCTATTTGACAAAAATGTTCTTGAAAGAGCCGATGAAAGTTTTATGCCCTTTTGTCTCCTTCTTTAGCAGATTTGATATAAAATCGTGAGTAAAAAATTCGGCTGAATGACCGTAAATATAGATTTATTCATACAATTCTGTAATTGGGAATTAATAGTTTTAAGAAACATTACAAAATAGTCATACAAAAAACAAAATAAATCCTTGAATAAACTTTGCTTCTTCGTATTGCAAAAGTGGTTAGAAGCTCAACTGTGACATTTCAAAAGCTCTGATGACATTTATCTTTGATTGCATATTTGATGACATTCTAAGAAAAAAAGATTTCATTTTCTAGCTTTAAACAAATTCCCGCTCCCGCAACTCTTGATGTGAATAAAAAAATTGCTGCATCGTTTCCATATTATAAATTTCAGCTTGCCTCAACAAACGGAAACTATCATTGAAAGGTATGCTAAAAAGGAGAGGCCCTAAGATTGATCCTTGGGCGACATCTAATTTCATTTCTTTCCAAAAGGCTGAATGAGCGGTCAATTGATTTTGACTCGCTGCTTTCTACCCGCTAGATAACGGTACACCAATTGTAAGACATTTTTGATAAAGCCGTAAATTTGGAAAGCAAGAGTTCATTGTTGAGACAGTTTCAAGCGTTGGACAAGTGCACAAGAACTAGCCTGAGAAAACCTCTATTCTTTAACGTTCTCTTACAAGTCTTCACGATTATCTCTCATATCAAGTCTAGACAAACCATTCTCAACACTAGAACCCTGACGACAGGCGCAAAGGCTAGGCCAGAGAAACTCCTTAACAAAAGGTAGCATTTGTCATTAACAAAGGTTTAACCATAGAATAAAGATCTCTGTTCTGTGATTTAACTAAGCCTAATGTGGGCTAAGCTTGTTGGTCCCAGAGCAATCAAAGCTACGTAACGGACACTGTAAACTTACTATGACCAAGTTTTGACACTGCTATACACCTGTTCCGTCTCTCATCAATAAATTGTTATAGGAAACGTCTGAAACAACTTCCATTATGCTCTTTAAGCATCTACTTTCTTCAAACCCCAAAGTCAGTGATAAACAGACCGAAAAATGCAGAAAAACAACCTTTGTAATTTCCAGTCTAGATGATTATGCTAGGACTCTACTTGGATACGTACACATATATATGTTATAAATTTTAGAATAATTGTTATCAATTAAAAATATATTTTTGCTTCATGATTATCCATCTATAAGCGTATTTGCACACATTATATTTCTACAAATCTGATAGTGTTCATATTGTTCATTTTGACCACAGTGCTCATATTTATCAAAATGATGTCAATAAGCGAGATACCTGGAGTTGCAACTAACAACAATCTTGTCCTATGCACAATAGCGCGTACAGCTCGGCCAACATGACATCAGTCCTTCTATGACTGGCCAGTAAACAGTAATTTTTGTAAAATGTCACAGTTATGTTTCAAAGATCATATGTCTAGTTCAAGAAATAGCTAAACACGATGGTCTCGAGATATAACAAATCAAGATATCGCTTATATCATGAAGACTATATGATGATATTAATACTTTAACGACATATCTACCAATACTTTCAGCATATTATTTACTTATTAACTTATCACTTATTTTCCTGACGATTACCAAACTACAAGTATGTTTGGACACCTGGCATTTCTAAAAAACTAGATATTCATTATTGTGCAATATGAATATAATTCTTTCTAAACTGAAGCAAAGGAAACATTGACAAACTTTTTCGAAATTCGTACAGGAGAGGTGTAGTGGTTAAATACCGAAACAAATTTTGCCTGACTACAAGTACGTTTGGACAACTGGCATTTCTAAAACACTAGATTTTCATCATTGTGCAATATCATCACTAAATATGATTCTTTATAAATGTTAATTCTAATATAAATCTAAATATAATTTCTTTGATTAATTAAGGGTATCATCAAACTCACTTGAGATGGAAGGCTACTGTATCTGGACCAAACGGGCCTCTTCAAAAGCGATCCAAAATGGGTATGGATAGTAGATCCAAATGGGTTCGGATTGGCCAAGTCCCGTGTAAACGCAAAACGCATCATTACCACTTTGGGATCGGATCCAAACGGAACCATCTTCAACAGCGTTCCCTACCGGATCCGCCAGGTCCCGTGTTAACGCAGAGCCAATACGTATTACTTTGGGTTCGGATCCGATCTCGTGTAAACAGGCCCCTAGGCTTCAATCGGTAATCATAAATCTTGTTAAGAAAAAATAGTCTTATGTTTGTCTAAATACAATTAAGTGACGGTTATCTGTTAAAGTAACTTGCAAAAATTTCCATGGAAGTCGTTTATAACTAGACAGTTTTTCATGAAGCATGAAAAAAAAATTTAAGAAGCATAGGTCAGCAATCAATTTGGATCAAGAATTTGTTGTCTGTTTTTCATTCTCCATTCAATAATTATTTGTCCTTAACGGTTTAAAGACAAAATCTGGTCCAAGACAGGAAATATTAAACCGTATAGCTACGACTGATCGGCCAAAAAGAGCTCTTCAAACCGGATGCCAGTTAGCAGCATTAACGCTTCTTTTGGTGGAAATAAACTTTTAAACAGTTTGAGTATTATTCTCAATAAAAATCATTAACATTGCATGGACAAGAAAATAGCTTCAAAGCCACTGACGTCAACCCTTCCTTGAATGCCTTCAATAATAACACCCCCGTCTAAGAGCCCCCATTAAGGTCAGATTTTTCCGGGGGTGGTGTTCACTTTTTTGCGAGGAAAACCGTGGTCACATTTTAAACCGGAGAGCCCTAAATTTGACCCGAGGTCACAGGACAGTATCATTTCAAATGGGAACATAAAACAACATAAACGTGGCATGTGCAATTTGCCTGCATCAAAACTTCCTTTAGCTGGGCGACTGCATATTGGCATTGACACTGACTGCACATTATACAATTCACGACTATTCAAACATTGATAAACAGCGAATAGAAAGTTTCAAAAAGTAGCAAACAAATTTTTCTGGATCTTTCATCTAAAAAA